AGGCGCATAATAACGCTTCAATATACTAAATTATTTGTTTTTTTAAGCTCTACAAAATGGTTTGGAAAGAAATTGCTAAATTTTATGTTTTTTGGGTCAAAAATTAGAAAAACCTATTTTTACCCCATAAAACCCCCCGTAAACCCCCGTTCCCATGGTCCGATCATGCTGGATTGCGAACTCGTTCGAATAAACGTACTTTTACACGTTTGTACCAATTTTCATCAAAATCGGATCATTTTTGCTCGAGTTATCGTGCTGACGGACACATATATATATATATATATATATATAAATATATAAATATATAAATATATATATATATATATATATATATATATGAATTTGAACGGATGGTGTTTTTCGCCTCTAGGGACCTCAAAACGAAAAAAAAAATCGGTCCCGCGTCCAGGTCTTACCATGAGTACTACGGTAATAGCTTATTCCCTATATGGGAAATTCGCTAAAATGCTGAGCAGTTATATGAGTAGAAAAAGATTTGAACAAGGTTTTAAAGAAGTTTAAATAATTGCGTGACTTTGAATTGTATTTCGAAAACTCTAAAAATTAACTATTTGTATAATCTCTTATTAAAAGGAAAATCAGTTCCTCTGCCCTAATAATGATAGCCTACTGACTGTATAAAAAGGAACTGTGGTTTAGTAAAGTTGTAGGCCTATTACTGTTTGCAAGACAATAATTTTTTGAAACATCAGGATTTGATTACCAGCACTAAAGTCATATCTGAATGTACGAGGGGTGTTTTTTTTTTTAAGGACCGTTTTTGCGTATAGCTCCGATAGTTCTCGTGTAAGCTATAGCGAGGCCTCTCGCCGCCAACCGTTTTCATTGGTAAACTGAATTGCGGCATTACCGCTATTTGCAGCTCTGTATCTGACTTTTGTACTAAGCTGTGTGTCTAGAAATTTTTTTTGAATCTCCGATATGTGAGATAAGGTAATTGTTATGTTTTTTTACAACAAGAAACATATTCATCGCCAGATGACTGAATGTATTGACCCTTGCTTAAAAACGCCACTAATAACATTTCTAAAACTTACATTGGCTAAAATAAATCGTTAATTATATATTCAAGCCAGTATTATTGAGTCCGAGAGCATTCCAGGGGACAACTAGCCCTTTTATAGAGATATAAGATAAGATTTGCATAGTTTCGGTCATAATAATCCACGGTGAAGAACAAAGAGAATAGTTACTCTTGTACTATTTATCCAACCTAGGTGCAATTACTGTAGGCCTATGTGAATATTTTACAATAAGCTGGTGGTATTTTAGCGAATTTCCCTATAGGGAAGTAGCTATTACCGTAGGTGGCACGGTAAGACCTAGACCCGGGACCGATTTACTTTTTCATTATGATGTCCCCAGAGGCCAAAAACACTATTCGTTCAAATTTTTATATATATATATATATATATATATACGTCCGTGAACGCGATAACTTGAGTAATTTTTGTCCGATTTTGATGAAATTTGGTTTAGAGGTGTAAAGCGGGATAAACTTGAATGAGTTCGCGAACCAGCACGATCGGACCATGGGAACGGGGCTTTATGGGGGGTTTTATGGGGTAAAAATTGTTTTTTCTCACTTTTGACCCTCAAAACACAAAATTTCCCAATTTCTCTTTAGACCTTTTTAAAGAGCTTAAAAAAACAAATAATTTAGTATATAAAAGTATTTTTGTTCGAATATTAGTAACGGAGAAAATTTAAAAAATTGTAAATTTAAAATTCTCATGTTATTCTTATGAAGAATATTGTCAAATGTTGTAGTTTGCTTGTTTATGAATATATTTTGATCAAACTTGGCAAATTTATTTATTTTGTACTAAGCTATCAATATTTTACTCAAAAACACACTTTATTAGTTTCCTTGTAGCAGCAAACCTAGGTACTCGTTAAACCTAATGTTATTAAAATATATTTAACTGAAAATCAATTCAGACAAATGGAAATTCGCTTAGTCGGCAGGTTTGCTGCGGCGGGGGTATTTAAACATATCGCCATGAAACAAATACTATATGAGTTAAAACTCGAGATAAGAGTTTAAAAACACCTTAAGAGATTAATATATATTTTACAAAGGATTTTTTGAAATATAATATGTACATTCTTGACCAGAATATGTGTTTACATTTGCAGTTAAAATGATTATATTGATTGATATTTAAACACAATAACAACTTTTTTTGCATTAAAACCCATTTCATACTGCAACTTTTAGTAATGAATTTTACTAATTACATTCTTGCAAATATTTGCTTAACAAAGTCAGGCTACTATCGGGAGTATTTTAATAAAGAATTACTCAGCCGATTGCGAATTCCCGAGCAATTACTGAAGTTTAATTGCTAGTTATAAAAAATTTCTGCAGTGTTATTTTAAAAGTTGAAACATTTTAAACGATAAGTGTTAAAGAAGTGTAATAGCTATTTACATTACAAGTGTAGTAAGAGCGTTTTTACATCACGCAGGTGAATGTTGTGCAACGAGCGGAAGCGAGTTGCATAATTCCCCTAAGTGATGTAAACACGCTCTTGCGTAACGTGTAACGTACAAGATTTTACCTGACCCAACAATATGCATAGGGTTACGTACAATATTTTTCATTATCCATTTCACTAATCTTCTAACAGAAACGTTCTTTTACAAACAAAAGGTAGGTTAGGAAAATACTTTAAAGCATAACAATAACATTCAAGCGCACAGCTGATTCCTAGCGTTGAACGTCGTTGGCTCCATAGAGGTATATTTTTTAAGTTTAGCACTCAATGTTATTTAAATGGGTTTCTTTACATCACCGAGTGAGTTTTTGATACTTTACATCACTCGAGAAGTAAGGAAGTTGTATACATCACGCTTGGGATAGGGAAGTTTAACATGGCGGGTTAGGTAAATAATTTTGCGACTTTGAATTGCATTTCGGATCATACTCTGTACAATTTTACCTGATTGTAAATAACTAACATCGTTACAATAACTACAATGATGAGGCATTGAGTTTTCTGGAGACATTTTCGGGGCGTATATAAGTGTAGGCCTATAAGAAGACTATATGTTTACCCAATGTTTTTTCAGCTGTGGATGACTAAATAGAAACAATTGCATTGTGTATAATCTATTTATGTAACGCATTTGCATGAAGCTAATGATTTAATCTGTGGTGATTATTACTATAAACCTAGAGGATAATGTAGTTGGCCTAGTTGAAAATATATTTTAATTTTAATATTTATATATTTTGTGTTCAGAATGTGATCACAGTTTCTAAGACATGTCATGATGTTGACATTGTTTTCAGAATCAACCATCTCATCTCGTTAGTGTTTGTAGCATCTGTTTGGCTCTCAGCTTTGATGACAAACCTCAGACTTGTTATAACTTTGTCCAGTAGTTCTCGTGTCACTTCTGTTTAATACATTGCTAAATGTGGTTCCCAATTATATGTCCTTCTACAAAACGTTCCGTCATTCCAATTATGAAAGAATTATAATTTGTTTAAATTCTTCAAATTATGAAGAATAATGAACAAAGATTTTAAAAAAATAACTCGTTGTAACCGACATTAATGTATAACTTTGTTCTTGCTTTGTCTTCGGAAATAAAAATTTTACAAACACTTTTTACATTCTATATTTTATTTGAATTAAATACATATTGCAAATACAATTGAAAATGACATGTAGAAATCAATAGTAAATCTGGAACATTCTATATTATTATCTCGATAATTATATAGTGGTAAACTGCCTCCTTAATAATATAGGATTTATTTTATATTATTTAAGAGAATTAAATAGCTATATAAAATATTAGGACACCGTATTCTTGTTATTAGTATAGTTTCAGTTAACATCGTCAGCTTTTAAAGTATAGTTGGATTTTTAGGATGTATTCACTATTTAAAACCGTTATCTTGGTGTATTTATTTTCGGTATAGTGAAGTCAAAACCCTAATATTTGGCACCTACATAATAGTTTTTGTATAACTACTCATTGTCCTTGCATTTACAACGTGACTTCCATGTCATTTGCCAAACTCAAGGGTGTTTCAACACTCGAGACGAAGCTCCTATCTTGATGAATGTTTAGTTGATTAAAATCTTCCCGCTACTTGATATTAAACGAGGAAGGTTTTAAAGGTATAGAATGCTAACGAAATTGCACGTTAAATCTCGGTCTAAGCTTACTAATCTTATAAGCCATAAAAATTTTAATGATAACAATTTCCTAGACATTTTCCAACTTGTGAACCTAAATAATCTAGGATGGTGAAGACTTTCTCATGGTTCAACGTTAGGAACTTAACTGATTAGAATCTAACTTCTTATCTTGAAACTAATTCCAAGATAGTTAATAACGTTAAAGTAACTCGAGAAGTAGTTAGGAAAGTTTAAATCACTTCTTGTTTAGTTTAAACATGTATTCGATGTTTCCTGGCGATCTCGATTGATAGCTAGTAATTGAAAAAATGCTTCTAAACAACAGATGGATATTTACAAATACATGAAAGAATTACAGTACTCGACTCAATTAATCGAAATATTTATATTTATTTTGTGTAGGCTGTTTTGGAATTCACGAACTAAGAAAAGACATTTTTCGAAGGTTTTAAATCCAGCTGTGAGATGTTAAAACGCACATTTTAAATTTCATGTAGGCAGTCACTAAGTTACTATAGTAGTTGATATTAGCAAAGTAATACTCACATTAAATCTCGTTAATAATACCAAACAATTAATCATATGTTTGCACATCTCAATAATACATTTTATTTTCATTTAAATCTGACTCCGCAGTTGCAAGAATTGTGTCAATTCATCCGTTTTTACAATCAATGATCAGCCAACGCAAACTTCCAACAGACATTTAACATTTTTCCAGCTTAACGAATACAGTTCGATTTTCAAAATGTATGCAGCATTATTTCAACTCTGACGACAATTTTAGTTCATAATCAGTTACGTTTTATGTTTCAGGTGTAACTCACAACCGGCAACGTGTATCCGTTTAAGGTAAGTTGATCATTGTTATCTCTTTATTTGATTTATTTCATGAAAAGAAAACGTGATGTACTTTTCATTACGATATCTTTAAATCTTAGTTTAGATGATCAAAATGATACGATGATAAAAAATGCTATAACTGCATTTTTACCAGTCTCAGACGTTTCCAAGTACACGTGATGTTGAAATAGGTTATTGTAGTAGCTGTTTACGTTAATATTCGTCCGTAAACGTTGTAAGTCAATCAAATGAAGGTATTGAAATACTAATCTTGTAGCTTATAAAATAAACATTTTGTTAACTAAAATAGGCTTTACCTTCGTCACTGCAGCTCAAATACTGGTGTAACTACATTACGTCCGTTTCGGCATTGCAATGCCATCGTCAGACTACAAAAACTCAGCTGAAGTAGCGTCGTTGAAGTTTAAACACAAAACACACACGAACAATACGAAACATTTAAAATTTTTACAAAAACCGATCTGGCCTGTCGTACTAACGGTTGACATGTTCCTGTTCCAAGCAAAACGCCGACTGCAAAAGTCTTCAAAGACGCTACTTCAGCTGAGTTTTTGTAGTCTGACGATGGTATTGCAATGCCGAAACGGACGTAATGTAGTTACACCAGTATTTGAGCTGCAGTGACGAAGGTAAAGTCTATTTTAGTTATTATACAGCTCAGGGGCTAAAACATGGATTTTAACAAATTTGTTTCTTTGCTAAAGAAAATGGCAGGCATATGAATATTGTTTGATTGGCATTTTAGTTAAGATTGTTAACTTAGGTTTCGTTTTTTACTTTAACAAGTCATATTTCAAGAAATTCGCCTAACTTATGTGTTAAATAAAACATTTTTAACACATCTGTTACTAACAATTAAAGGAAATTTAAGTAATAAGTTATTTTTAAGTATCTAAGACTCTTATAAATTTACAATGTTTTCAAATCTGTCAAGTGCACTGTTATAAAGGTCTCGTATTTGAACTGTAACATTTAATATTTTCCATGAAATATCTCAAGAGACCAATAAGAGAGTAGCAACTGCAGTGCAATTAAACTGAACATCACACCCTTAAATTAACCTTACATCTTTAAGGTTCTTTTATTTATGGTATTGGGGTACATCATGTAAAAACGCTATAACCGATTGTTCTTTTGGATATGTTCTTAACTTATAACATAATTCATAATGTTTCACTTGCAAAACTGCATTTAATCATACTACTTTTAGGCCTTTTCTTCGGTGTTTATCAGGAGACATGACGAATGAGAGATTAAAAAAAACCCCCGTTCAAAGTGACTTATACAACATGAAAACAATAATTTGAGCGAAGCAAAATATATATGCATTGCATTTTCTATGAAAATGTATCACATTTGTCTATGTATCACCATTTTTAATAGGGTAGTAGTTAAAGGACTGTTGTATTTTAATATTAATATAAATACAAGAACAAAACCTTGTTACTTTACTAAGTGTTTGATTCTTAATAAGTGAAATGAAATTTAGCAAATTTTTTTCCATAAAATAATCAAACAAGCATTTTTCCTCCTTTAGCCTCTCAACAACAATATGAAAATCTCCTACTTACTCCTCAATATAATTAATGTAATTTAATATGAATGGGATGAAAAACATATAAACAATACTAAAATACAAAACTAAAAGGAAAAATTCTACATTGGTAGGGTTTGTGCATAGAGTAAATTGCTGAAAATTTTTAAATTTGTAAGAAACATTGCAATAGAAAAAAATGTATTAAAGTACATAAAGCATACTTATTAACATGGATACTTACAAAAAATTACAGTACACTCACTTGTTTAATTAATTGTACTTTAAAAAGTTGAGCAACGTTTGGTTTTTTTTTTTATAATTATATTTTATAGGTTAACATTATTTTAATTGTTGAAAGTTAATCGAATTTTTTCATGTATATATATTTGTTTTAATAATCTAAAAAATTATTAGGTGCAATGAAAAAGTTGATATTTATTTGATCCATACAAAGTTATCTCATGTTACATAGATTAAAGTTCAAACATTGATGCAATTCTAAATTACGATTTGCTGTTAGTGAATTCATTCACTAAAGTGTTGTGTACATTTATTTTTGTATTACTATTTTTAAACTTAGAATATATTCAAAGAGTGCAATTGATTTGAAGTGTTACAACACGGCCAGTGGCCTAGAACTAGTAGTTGTATTGGTTAGTTGTACGTGCGATGATAGGAATGACATGGCTGACGCTAAACTAGTTTAGCTAATGCTCCATCGAATTACATCAATCAACTTGTCAATTTCAACCCACAAGCTCTAACTTTGATCATCCCGTGACACTTCTCTGCTCGTCACAAGAAGTTTACTCCGGCGATGTAATTCCAAAACATAATCAAGCAAAACATCAAGTGATGCATGTAGTCCAGTGAAAGGCTCAAAAGACATATAAAAGACGTTACAAACACAACTACCATTTATTTATTTATTTATTTGTACACAATTTACAATAGCTAAAGGTATAAACCCAAAACAGCTATAATGAAAAATAATACAATATTAATACCTAAAGTGAAGAGAAAAAAAAGTACAAAAAGTGCACATAAATAGACAATACAAAACCAGTGATGATAATAGTAAAAAAGAGTGAATACAAGTTAATAAAAATGGACAACGTTGTTGAAAATTTCACTTATTTTGGCTGCAAATCCAAAGGGATGGATTACATTACGTAAGCAAAGCGTTTATCTTAAATTTAAACTGCTTAATAGTGTCAGAAAAAAACATCTATTTTACTATTGTGGACATTTAATAAACGTAAGCCTGTAAAAAGTGAAAAACTGTCAAATTGAACAGTGTTACAGCGAGGGATAAAAAATAAAATTGACTATCTTGAATTATTACGAGGAACATAAAAAGCAATCTTACTCAACAAAAACAAACTATCAACTTTGTTATTTAGGATTTTACACCTGATTTACATCGCTGATCTCGTCGTTTGGTCATTGAGGCTTGGATTTAATCTTTATCAATCAATGGTTGTGTAAATCATTAGCTATTCATGCTTTATTTTAATTCACTGCTTGTTAACTTTTTCTGTAATTTTCCCTTCTTCATTAATCAACTATTTTATTTCAATGTGAAACTTCATGATACTGTAACTCTGTAGCTTAGAATATACGAGTATACCGTGCCACCAATCTAAAATACAAAGAAGATGGGTTCAACAGGCAAGGGAACTCTGTATCATAATACTCACACCACTACACGCCAAACGACAGCTTATTGCTTAGTAAAACCCATCGTGGTTAAACCCATGACATTTCAATAATATAGATAAAGTAAACTTTTCATAACATATGTCAATTTTTCTCTGGTAATAAACCTAGCACAACCTTCCTTTTGAGTTGAACATTTATAAACAATCATTTGGCAGGAAATTGTTACTCTATCAAATTTATTTTCCATTTATTAGTAATAATTAGTAGTATCCGAACAATTTTGTATTGATATTTCTTCATAAATCGACATTAAGTTGATTGCATAGTGTATTTCGATAAAATTAATTTTAATACCCAAAAAGTATTTTAGTTTAAGGAAATATAAGTACTTTAGTTATAAGCTGAATCGTTTAGGATATAAACGTAGACGACTGTTTGTAGAGAAATCAATTTTCTGAAAATTGTGTTAAGAACACAACACCTGAAACACTTTGTTTTTGCTCCATCACTAAGAGATCATTAATTTTTACTCTTACCTCTTGAAAAGAAAATTATTAATATTTCTTTTGTTTAAATTATTCATATTTTTTCCAGTAATACAAGAATAATATACATTATTAATTTATGTGACTCTTTGTGTCAATAACTATGTGACAGAGGGCTAGGTTTTAGGACAAGCATATATCATTTCCAACATAATCACAAAATTTAAGCTACTTTTATATCAATAACATTTACTAATAATAAGTTTAAGTGTTGTTCAAAGGTGTATCGCGGACATTTTCCATCACGATGGTAAAAAACAATACACAACGTTTCGAGATCTGGAATCTGATCCCGTCTTCAGGTGAAAAAAACGTATAATTCATTTTTATAGCCCCAGGATTGCGTAATATGACTAATAATGGTTAAAAACTCTGACGACACCTCAAGAAATGGATCCTTTTGTTTGCCTGACGATGGTGGAATTTAATAACCACCGAAACAGGTAGCAAGTTTATTTTCGACACTACAAAAAACATGTCAAGGATTGTCTGACAAGGTACGTTTTTAACCATTATTAGTCAAAAAAATTAACTTTTGTAAAAAAAAACTTTTCGTGATGGAAAATGTCCGCAATAAACCTTTGAACAACATTAACTTACCATTACCAACAATGAATTTCAAACAAATAATAAGTTTAACATATGCGGAAGCGTTATAAACTGAAGGGTCCCAACAGCGTCTCTATTTTCTGATCACAAGGGCTAAAATCCACAATGTGAAAGGTTGATCTAAGCGATGGGTTTGTTTAAGTGCTTGTAAAACAGATCAAACTGTCTTTGTGTCTTCCTTATTCTGTCAAGTGGTTTTCTTAGACACTATTTTCTTTTTTCGAAATTGTATTTTTTTTATTTTGCTTATATAACTTGTTCGTTAAATAAAGAAAGTTAGTGTTAGTTAAGTACTAAAATTGAAATTATTATTATTATTTAAAAGCCAATATGACAAACAATCACACTCCTTTTAGCAAATTTCCAATATAGGGAATAAGCTATTACCGTAGTACCCATGGTAGACAAGGATCCGGGACCGATTTACTTTTTCGTGTTGAGGTCCCTAGAGGCCAAAAACACCAACCGTTCAATTATATATGTGTGGCCGTTAGAACGATCCGAATTTTTGGTCGAGCAAAAAAGATCTGATCGTGATGAAATTTGGTATAAACGTGTAAACCTAAATTTATTCGTTCGAGTTCGCGAACCAGAATGATCGGACTATGGGAACGGGGGTTATGGGCGTTTTTATTGGGTAAAAATTCGGTTTTCAAATTTTTACCCAAAAACATAAAATTTTGAAATTTTTTCAAACAATTTTGTACATCTAAAAAAAAATTTAATACCAAGTAATTTAATTTCGTTATCATGCGCCTAATGGTTACCGAAAAATTCCAAAAAGAATTTGAAATTTAAATTCCTATGTTATTCTTATGGATAATAAGTAAACTGTTGATGTTTGTTTATTTATGAGTATATTTTGAACACATTTGGAAAATGCATTTATTTTATACTAACACTTAACATGTAAATTAATATTTTACAAAAAACATTTTTTACTCTCCCTTTTGCAGCACACCAAGAGTACTTGTTAAATTAATGATATTTAAATGGAGAATAAAAGTGTTTTTTTTTTAGGAGACATTTTAGTGTAAATCCAATCAGGCAATTGGAAATTCGCTTAGTGTGCAGGTTTGCTGTGGAGGGTGAATTATTATTATTTTGATTGTGTACCTATTTCTGTTGTGTACCCCAAGAAAAGCTCGGCCAACAGGTAACTGAGCTTATTTTTAGTATTAGGAAATCCTAAAATCCTTTTTAGTATTAGTAGTAGAGATTAGCATTCTAATCAGAGTGTGCAAGCAGGAATCAGACGTGTGCTCCCACTATCTCCGCGTTCCGCTATCTCCGAACCCAAATCTGTCCCGCCATCTCCGAATTCTTGAGTGACCCTTATAATCCAGTCACTGCCTGCGTTGTTAGCTGTCATTGCATCCACGGCTGTCGGCTGCGAAGCCCCGTGGATGGAAGATTTGATGAAAATTTAACCCGTGGGTTAGGTTAGGTTAGGTCAGGTCAGGTCAGGTTAGGTTAGGTTAGGTTAGGTTAAGTTAAGTTAGGTTAGGTTAGGTTTGGACGGAAAGTCTTAACGCAGGAAGTAACCGAGGATTATAGGGGTCACTCTGAAATTCGGAGATAGCGGTACACGGAGATGGCGGGACGCGGAGATAGCGGGAGGTAACCGGAATCAGACTGACGTCTTCAGATTACACATCCTAGCTTTACAAAACTAGCATCAAAATAGTAGTTTCATATTAATGTCAACAGTCGTAGTAACTTAAAATAACTGATATTTAGCTTGATATGTAAATATCATAAACTCCATGTTAATAATACGTGGGCTGTATTATAGGTAAAGAAGAAAAAAATAACGGATTGGAAAATAGTAGAACTGTTTAATGGCAGAAATAAGCATAATGAAAATATAAACAATCTCAGTAATTGAACATATTGGTAATTCATATAAATATACATAAGGAGAACGAAAAGTTGAAAAATATTATATAACGATTGATTATTAAATATAAAAAACGAGAGTAGTGAAAAATGTAACTATATGTGATAGATGATAGCCTTCAATTATAATCCAAACATATTAAACATTCTGTGTTCGCCCGGATGTAAAACTTATTTCGGTATTGTAACAGTATACAGCATACTAACATAGCATAGTAACATTTCATCCAATTTTACCTTTATCTTTTACGTCTACCATAATGATAACTAAACAGATTCTTTGTTATTTTATTGTTTTAATATTTTAGGTCATGACCTTGGAAGCTAAATCTACATTTCCATTTATACAAAAAATATTAAGTATCCATAGTATTTCTAGGTCTAAAGGGATTGGTATATGTAGGTCCCACTAAACTTCTTCTACCAACCTTTAGGCCTAACGAAGATGTAGGGTTACTTTGTAAACGCCTTCCTCTGAAATTACTTAGCAGATTAAAACAATTATTAAATCAGTTATGAGTCAGCGTTCGGACAGTAAACATCGTTATCAATTAGTGCTCCCACTGATTAGGAATTCTTATCCTGCTTCAATGTCCTGTGTTATAGTTTCGTGTACTAAGTGTTAAATTCGTGTTTCATGAAATTTAAAATATTTCTATAATATTATCAGTTATGGCTAATTGTAGAATTTGTGTTAAAAACATAAGTGCTAAACAGCTAAAGTTGTCGTGTCAAGATTGTGATGGTGATTTTCACGCAAGTTGTTTGAAGTTCAGTAAAGCTGAAGTTGAATGTATCACTGCGGATGGACTTGTGTGGCGTTGTGACAAATGTGCTAAAGAAAAAAGAAAAAGTATGAGGTTAGAGTCTGCGACTTGTGAAGGTAAATTAAGCATAGATGATGTTATGAATGTAGTTACGGAGATAAGAGATATGCAAAAGAATCAGGAAATGAGTTTTAATGCTGCATATGAATCCATGAATCAGCAGCTTCAAGAGAACACAAATGCTCTTAAAGCTCAAAATGATCAAAATGAAAAATTGTATAAAATTATTGAAAGTATCACTGCTGAAAATAATGCGCTTAAGAAGAAAGTAAAAATGTTAGAAGAGCGTGTAGAGGAGTGTGAACAGTACTCGAGGTCTAATTGTGTGGAGATCCAGGGCATCCCTCGTACACCTACGGAGGATGTACTGACTATTGTGAAAGAAGTCGGCAAGGCTATGGACATGGACATCACTGATACCATGGTCGACACTTGTCACAGACTAGGACCTAGGGGAAGTGGAAGTACTCAATCAGGAATCATTGTCAAGTTTGTGCGTCGGATTGACAAGGAAGAACTTTTAAGAAAAAGGCGTGTGAAAAGAACACTCTCAACCAGACACATGGGTAGGACGGATGATTTGCCGATCTATAACAATGAATCATTGTCACCAGCCCGGCGGAGGTTGCACACCTTGGCGAGAACGTACAAGAAGGAGAAGAACTACAAGTTCCTGTGGGTGCGAAACGGCAAGATTTTTCTGCGGAAGGAAGAAAACGCTCCTGTCAAGGTAATTACATCAGAAGAGGACTTAAAGTAGTAATTTGTAGCTCGAGTCATCTTTTGAAAGACATGTCAGTAGTAAATACTGAAGTAATATCTAAAGCCCAAACTAAGTACAACTAATAAACCAACTTTAAATTTATTTTTGTATTTCTGTAAAATCTGTAATGTATCACATATTATAATTCATGTATATTCTTCATATATTTTTTCCAAATAAGTAATTGTTGTGAATCAAATTTAAATGTTGCAAGTTATAATAACTTCTTAATTGTGCATCAGAACATACGTAGTATTAGGCAAAACTGCAATTTGTTGTTATCTGAATTAAGTAGTAAGGAACTTTTTCCTGAGTTTATCGTGTTAACTGAAGTGTGGATAGATAAGAGTGAGCTATGTTTCTACGAAATTCCTAACTATAATAGTTATATCAAATCAAATGATGAGAATAGAGCTGGAGGTACTATTGTTTATATAAAATCAGATATTGAGTTGATTAGTTGTGATCCAGTATATTTTCAGTCGGCAGATATATTAAAAGTAGAATTTAAATTTAATACACAGATTTTATGTATGTTGGCAGTATACCGATTACATGGATACCATAAAGATCTGTTTGTAAATGAACTGAATGCTTGTTTTAATAGCAACAATAATTTTAAATGTTATAAAAATGCCATTTTAGTTGGAGACATAAATTACAACTTGTTAGAAAATAATAGTACAAACGATAGTTATATTACGATTCTTTCTGTGAATGGATTTGAATGTCTACTTCATGAACCTACGAGAATAACAGATAACACTGCGACATTAATAGACCATGTATTCATGAAGGTAGGAAACAAAATTAAGACTAAAGTTAATGTAGAGATAAGTCATGCACATATTACTGATCACTCAATGATAGTAATAGATATCAGTGTAGCTGATGATAAGACAGTAGTATCAGCTCGTTGTTTGGATCCTCCAATTTACAGAACTGATTACAGAAAAGTCTTAACTCAGCTTGATAATGTAGATTGGCAGGATGTTTACTCAGATCAAAATCCTTCCACTGCATTTGATACTTTTCAAAATAAACTTGTGAGCATTATCTTAGAAAGTAGAATAGTTGTGAATTCTAAAAATAAAAATTGTATACAAAAGCTAAAACCATGGATAAATAATTTCATATGTATGAAAATTAAAGTAAAGAATAAAATCTATCAAAAGGTTAAAAGTCATCCAAATAATGAAAAATTAAAACGTTATTATAAAAAATATAGAAATAAATTGCAAGTTGAAATTAGAAAATTGAAAAATAATTATTACGAAGGTCTATTTGTAAAATGTAATGGTAATTCTAAGAGTACATGGAAAATTATTAATGATGTAACGGGTCAAAAGGTTGTTAAAAGTAAAATCAAGAGTTTGAACATAAATGATTGCATAGTATATGACACCAAAACAATATGCGATGAATTTAACAAGTTTTTCCTGTCCGTTGTTGATAATTTAAATATAGACAAAAATAAGCCAGACTATTTTAATGACTGTAGTTTTAAAAAATGTTTCACTAATACACAATCTTGTAGGTCTATATTTCTATATCCTGTGATAGCAGAGGATTTAGATTGCGCTATTAGATCGCTGAATAATGGGACGTCACCTGGTATAGATAACATAAGTACAGCTGTCATAAAAATAATATATCCTAAGGTAGTAAATGTTTTATTATATTTAGTTAACTTAAGTTTCGAAAAGGGCATTTTCCCAGATCAATTGAAAACGGCTGTGGTGATTCCTTTGCATAAAAGTGGGTCACCTGATGATTGCAACAATTTTAGACCTATATCTCTTTTGCCTACCTTTGCCAAGGTCTACGAAAAGATTATGAAGAAAATATTAGTGAATTTTCTTGAACAAACAAATTATTTTAGTAAAAATCAGTTTGGTTTCAGAGAGGGTTTAGGAACACAAGCTGCACTGAGAGATTTCATGGATAATGTTTACAATGGGTTGAATGAGGGGAAGAAGGTTAGTGGCGTCTTTTTAGATATAAAGAAAGCTTTTGACACGGTAGACCATAAAATCATGTTGGAAAAACTTTACTATAGTGGAATAAGAGGGAATGTATTAAAATGGTTTGAAAGCTATTTGGAAAACAGAAAACAATTAGTCAAAATTAATGATACTCTAAGTGAATTGGGTTGCATTACTAGTGGGGTGCCCCAGGGTTCGGTCTTGGGTGCAACTTTATTCTTAATTTACATTAATGACTTGTGTAATGCAACATTGCATGTGAAGATTACCTCCTTCGCTGATGACACTGCCCTTTGCTATGTCAGAGATAGCTTAACTGACATAAAACACAAAATGACCTCAGATCTTAAAGCTCTTCAATGGTGGTTCACCAAAAATAACATGTTGCTTAAGTCCAGAAAAAACCAAATTTATTAATTTTTCACTAAGAAATGAAATGCGATTTGATGGTGATATTATTTACACTTGCGCTAAATGTTTGTGCTCAGGTACTCAGTGTGCTGATAAGTGTGCTGTAGTTCAGCAAACCAATAGTATAAAGTATCTAGGCTTAGTCCTGGATCAAGAGGTTAGCTGGGTTAATCACATAAATATTTTAAAAAGGAAACTAAACAGTACATTGAGATATTTTTATTTTTTACAGGACATTTGTCCAGAAAATGTTTTGAGACTTTTATACTTTGCACTTGTAAATAGTAGATTAGACTATGGACTTTTTTGCTGGGGTGGTACCTTTGAATCTAAACTGAAACCTATTTACATAATACAAAAAAAGTTTATCAGGGTAATTAAGAAAAAGAGCAAAATGGAACCATCACAGCCTCTTTTCTGAGACTTAAAAATTCTCCCTTTAAAATGTATGTATTTACACAAAGTCTTAAAAATGTTTTATGAGTTAAGTGGAGATTTCAGGAAGTTTAATAATACTTATAAAGAAAGATTAAGGAACCCTGAGCGTGCACTTGTGCCTAGGCCTAATGTAACTTTTTTCCTTAATAGTTACTGTTTTGTAGGTCCTAAGCTTTTTTGTAAATTACCTGAAAATATTATAAATTGTAAAACTTTAGGTGGATTTTCAAAGAAACTAAAGACTTGGCTATTGACAGTTGATAATTTGGAATGTATAGTTAAAGTTTATGTATGATTTAATTCTATAATTTTATGATAATTTTCTTTATGTTTGAATTCGAATTAATGTACACGAATCCTAGCAGTTGTGAACAGAGATAAGATTATGTTATGTTTTTACTATAACAACAAGTGGGTCAGGAATAAAGCTTAAGAAACTATCCTGCGTATTCCTTTATCAAAATAATTAGATAAGGAACCTCCACACAGGCAATGCCTTTGGAGGCCCTAAATTTTCTTGAGAGACGATAACTGTTGTATAATATCTAGATGATGATTTTATGTTTTGTTTAGTTTATATAATATGTAATAGCTAGAAATGAATTTTAGGTTAATTAATTAGTATGAAGTTAATCAATTTGATTTATTTTACAATGAAAACACAACAGTATCTATGTTTATAATTTACGCTTTTGTAATATTTATGTAACATTGGTAACATGTACAATAACTTTGTAACATTGCTTTCAAGAAAATAAATTCATTCTTATTCTTATTCTTATTCTATTATTATTTATGTTTGAACTCCTGCAATTGCTCCTGTCTACAACTTATAAAATGATACTGTCAAAACTAGTTCACATAGTATATCAATATTAAGTCAAACCCGCAATCAAAATAGTGTTTTCCGAATTAATTTCTTTGTATCTCATTAGTTAAGTGATGAATATTTGAAAACCTTTATCAATATTGTTATAATCATTTCTACATTATAGGATCTTTTTCAGAATAATATAAGTATTGCAAGTAAGCAAGTCACAACAACCAGTATTATTTTGAATAAATACATTAATATGAAATATCATAACAGGAAATGTTCAAAACCTTTATGTAGTTAATAATTTTTAACTATTTTCCCTTTACTGGTGCTCAAGAAAGTATTAAAAAATAGCAAATGTATTTCCCAATTGTGCAGCTAAAAACCGCCAATCTAATTTATCCCTATCGTTAGAAAGACCTAAAGATGCATCTAAGTGAATAGTTTGTTTGAAAGCAGATGAGTACATAATTGTGTACCTATGTAAGGTTTCTACGTTGTATAACATTTGTTCAGGGAACACACGGGCATAGTAATTAAAAATAAGCTTACTAAAGCTTACGTAAGCTAACTGCATACACTTTTATCTATGTTTCATACCAACTGACATTTTTGACGTTTTTTCGTAAGGAAATTACCCAAATACCTTTCTGGTTACTATATAATGACTACCTTTTGGATGGAATCATACATTGATAACCCAATGACAAATGTCATCTGGGTTTGCTAAAATTTTACTCATCTTTAGATCGAATCAGCAACCTTTGGATTTGAAGGCGAGCAATATAAAAAACTGTATCTTTATCTAACACTATTTTGAGATTATGGTCTTAGTTTGTAAATGCACAATGTTAAAATGGGCTAAAAATAAGGTTATAAAAAGTTCTCATAACTTTATAATGGATCAAGATTTTTTTTAAACGAGTTGTGGTATTGTAATCAGCGTAACATTCTAGTTTGAAATTATGGGTCACAACCCTACCTTTACATTTGAAAAAAAAACCTTGTATCCGATATGGCAGATCCAAGATGGCGGCCAAAACTTTATACCCAGTAGAAATGAAGCACTTACTACTGTACAATGATCTGACGTGGTCCGGAGTTTATATCTTATGTAGAAAAAAGTAGGGGGGGACTCATTTAAAACTTACCCTGTATATAAGGATATATTGTTGTCAGGACGTCATTTAGTCAACGCTGGAGTAATAATTTCGAGTCTATGGTAGGGTACGGTTTATTTGCCTTTCAAAACACCAAAAAAATGTCACTTATTGAGGAAATGAAACGACATCTTTACTAATAGTATTATTTTTATCAGTCACTTAGCTAATTTGTAATTGATAGCA